CAATAAATAAAAAGGTAAAACTGCTAGAAAAATTATTGAAAATTAAAAAAAAAAATTATAAAGTGGTTCTAACAGTTATTTTTATATTGTCAAATTACTAAATTATCAATAAATAAATTAATATTTGATAATATGTAAAAAATCTGCTGTAAAATATATAATTTTCTGACAAGTTTTGAAAAAAAATTCTTTCACAAAAAAACATTAGCTTATTAAATAAATAATATAATAATTGATATAATTTCCAGTTAATCAAATTAACCAATAAACAGTCAATAAACAAATAAAATGAAAAATAAGTTACGAACCATACCACAAGAATAGGTTATTAAATTTCCAATTTTGGCATCGTTCGTAGCACAGTGGGTAAGATACATGGCTTTTGTATAGTAGTTAGCTGGTTCAAATCTCAGGGAAAGTTCTTTTTTCTTTTTTTTTGCAATTAAATTTAAAATGTGTGCTGTGATGGCGTGACATGGTATGGTGTGGCGTGGTATAGTGTAGATAAGACTAGCGTGGGGCAATGTAGCGAGATGGGGCGTGGTGAGGGGAGACCAAAAAGAAAAAAATCTACTTCCGTCACATATTATTTTCTGAAGGTCAGAATTCTAAAGTCGTTGATTTTCTCCAGCGCATAACTTGGCTATAGAAGTATAGTTTCCAAAATTAATCTCTAACTCTATGTCGTGTGCCGCTAGTAAAAATGCTGGTAATGAAATGACTAACTTAATTTTGAAAAAGGAAACAACCTACAACTTTCAAACGAACAGCTGATTGCGTGCCGTTGGTACAAATATCGATAGCCGAGTAGCTAACTAACTTTCTTTACAATCATCAATCTTGTTCCCACCTTAGTGCTCCGTCTCTAATACTTCTTATAAAATCCCTAGGCTGCTGCGTGAGAGCTTAGACCCGAACATAAAATTTACTGTAATGCTACCTTCATCGTAACACAGAAAAATACCATTTATTCATATTTATTTGAAATAAGTCAATCAAATCAAATACTGTTACTAGTTAGAAATACTGGAAGTATCATTTAATAAAGTTTAAATAAGCTGACTGCCATAGTCCCACTCAATATCAAAGTACACTTTTTGTTCCTATTTATCTCCTTTTGTTTGCTTTAAGGACTGTCCGGCAGACAGACATAAGACAGACCTTTTGGACTGTCTTAAGCTATGTAACTGAAACATGGATTCATTAAATCCTGCAA